GAAAAATAACTCTTCTTCTACTGTTATGATGTACTAGTACTAAAAATGTTTTAACCTCCCCTCCAAGAGGCTATTCCAGTTCTAGAAGATGCTTAGAAAATGATATGGTATATAGCCTTTAAGAGACTCAATATCTTAAAACGATAGTCTTTGTAGCAAAAACAAAGGAGGTGACCACGCCCTGAGCAATGGCATGAATGTTGTCGTCACCAGAGTGTGAATGGGGGGCCAGTGTGTGTTTTGGCTGTGTGCCCCTTGGAGTCTGTCTGTGGTTTTTGCTCTATGAGTATTGGGTTTTCTGTGGAGTGAACTCAGTACATCACTGTAGGGGGCTGAAATATGGCATCTTAGGCCAACTCCTGTTGAGGGATAGACATTGATGTCTTTGTTCCTCTTTCAACCATCTGTCTTCACTGTCAAGAATATGTACATATATTCAAAAGACTGACCTTTCTACTTGAAATGTAGATGAGCAGCTAAGTCCCGGAATTTGGACATGTGTTTGGACAGTGGCTGGTCTCTCATATGTACTGTACGTATATGTTTTGAAGGGTATACCTTCAAAGCCGGCACTCACTAGATGTTTTATTATCTGTGAATCTTAAGGTTGGCTAGAGCTCTATTTTTTAAAAACTCCAGTCCCAGAAGCCCAGTCTAGAAACAAAAAAACAAACAAAACAAAAACAAAACTCTAATGACACTGTAATGTGGCTGTACTGTAGATGACTGTAATGTCAGTCCTACTCTGGTTGTGATCTTCACCAGTTTTTCTTGACTGTTTCTACATGCTAAAAGCAGTTGGTCAGACACTGTCTCACGTTTAATTCCGATCCATTAAATCAGTTGAAGACGTGTACCTACTTTTTTAGGGGTAAAACTCAAATATTAGTTTAGTTTGTCATTTGATTTATGTGCCCCTAAAATGTCTGTGAAGTTTAATTTGAATAAAATATGTTCATCCACATCAATTTAGCCTGAGGCAGAGGTAAAGGTGGGTTTTTAATTAGCAGCCTTGTGTTTTGGGGAAATCGGCTCCTGCTCCTAGGGTAAAATGTAATAATTTGAGACACTGGAGAAATATTTTTCACATGGATTAAATCCGTCAAATGTATTTTAAATTACAAGGCATATTTCCTCAGTTTATCCCCCACTCTATTAGGAAAAGCACTTAACTTGTGGCGTTAGCTTGACTTTCTCCACGTCTTTGCTTTTATTTTTAAGTTGCACTTGAATTCAACTTGAGCTGTCCTAGAAAAAAAAACGATGCTTTAGCATGTGAAGCAGCATTCCATATAGCAAACAAAGTGGTGCATATTGAAATGAGGATGGGGAGAGAGTACACACAGGGGAAAAAAAACATAAGCCTGAGCTATGGAGGAAGAAAAGGGAGCGGAGGTAACAGGGATGAGAAGTGATAGATGTCAAAGCGTGAGGGTTGCGGCAGACTGTTGACAGAATGACAAGTATGGCTGGACCTGCTTTGGGATCAAGCAAGCAGGGAGAGAAGAGAGTTTTAATGCAGCACCTTGACATTTTGTATTTGAATATTTTTCCTTAGCAGGAACTCACCACATTAGCGACACACACACACACCAACATTTGATGGATAAGCTCTGTGATCAGTTTAGTTTTGGGAGATGAGGAACAGATATCAAGCAGCAGTCGAGGCAATGCCTCTGTATCCTCATACTGATCTGAGGATAAAGCAAATCTCCTGAAGCCTGATATGCCTTTTGTCCTGAAAAGTTAGCAGGGGGGAAACATGTTTTCAGGCTTTACTACAGATAATAACGTAAGCTGATTGAATGAATGATTTTTCTGGCAGAAAAGAGGGACCAAATAAAATAAGTTTGTGTATGAAATTTATCTCCAGCAACCGTCTTGTTTCTCCACCCATCTGCTGATTCATTGCTGTTTTTTTTTTCACCATCATCTTCATTTTTCTAGACACAGTCAGTTGAT